AGATATTATTATCATCACTCATCATCCTCAATAAGTCATGGTACTCTTTATCTTTATCATCATCATCATAATCACCAATATCATAATCATAATCATCACAGATATTATCTGCTCTAACACGTGTTACACGACTTTTATCTTCCAGGAATCTTCTTTTTAGAGATATCTACTACAAATTTTGTGAACATTCCCTGGGCAAAGTAGCATACCTTGAAAGCCTTGAGCCATACATCTTGAATGACAAGTAAGCATTGCTACATTTATCTTGATTGATACCAGAGCACGGTCTCAGATCGTACCCTGAAAAAACCTCTGGGCTGATCAAAGTCAGGGCACGGCTACCTTACAGATCAAATCCTGAAACAACCTCTGGGCTGATCAAAGTCAGGGTACGGCTACCTTAGAGAACGAACCCTGAAACAACCTCTGCGCTGATCAAAGTTAGGGTACGGCTACCTTACAGATCGGACCCCGTGATAACCTCTGGGCTGATCAAAGTCAGGGCACGACTAACTTACAAATCGAACCCTGAAATAACCTGAAGCTAATCTAATTCATGGCATATCTCATATCAAATTGGAATTTAGCGTGTTAGGTTTTTCTGATTGAGGAAAACTGGAGAATCAAGAGAAAATCCTCTAATCAAGGGAGAGACCTAACAAACTCTACTTACATGTTATTTTAATGYCAAGAATCAAACTTGAGACCACAAAGTTGATTCTGACCAACACTAGTTTCAGGTAAAAGCTTCACCACATAGCATGACATTAATGATCTCGATTTTGTTACAGACTTACTTCACTTAGTGCTATCGTAATGAAAGACTTCATTGGTAAGCGAATAGAAGGTTGTATGACAACTTCACAGAGCTTTAAATCACCTTGCTTTAGGATAATCTTTACATAATAATCTTTAGGATAGTCTATTAAAACTGGAAATGAAAACTAGATTATATTATGATGTTAGCAAAACATTGGAGAGAGGAGGTGGGGGCCATTATTTAGGTAGAGAAGAGCGGATTTTGAAAAAACCCGCTAAACGGCCTCAAATCGCGCTGAAACTTCGCCAGAAGACTGAACAAAGTAAAAGCAACAACTGCAGCAAGTTTTGAGACAAATTGTTGAGTGAAACRTTTTATTTTCGTAACTTTATCATAACTCCCATACATTCCCTTATAAACCATACGCAGGAACCTTGTTTGGGCTGCCTGTGATTAGGCTAGGGAATATCCAAATTATTGAAATCATGGAATTTTACAAAGAAATGTATGTGACCCGAGCAACACTTGCCCGTCCGACATACATTTTTTAGAAAGAATTCCAAGGTTGAAAAATCCACACGTTTCTGGATTATGAAAAYTCTTTACAAAAATTAATAGTTTAGATAAATTTGATCATGAATTCTTTATTCTGAAGCTAATCAGCCAATCAGAATGCAGGATTTTTAAATATACCACACTGATTATTTTATATCATAACAGAACATTATCAAAACCTTGGTAAAGTGAAGGAAGTAGAGTCATGTTTATTACATCTGGATGTGACAAACCTTGATATTCACCAGGTACAGCTATACCTTAACATTTCTGAAAAATATTCCTACTCAATTAGCTGAGTGATAAAAGTCTTAGAGAATCTTATTATTCGCTCCATATGGTGATCAAACACTGACCACCATGTGCTGTCAGCCAGAAAGAATGCTATTGAAAACATGCGATTCAGCTGATAAGCATTCCGCACGAGACAGGAAAGCAAAGCCTTCTCCAAGGGACCTTTGGCTGAATTGATTCGTTAGCAAAATGATATATCAACACGTGACTGTTTGTTGCAAGTAGCCTGGTGACCTGGTCAAGTAAAACCAGCAATTATCCTATAAATGGGATGTTGAACGGAATGCCGATGCAATAGCCCACGCCCGAGATATGCTTCGCTTGTCACGGACAAAGTACGAGGCAACGTCCTAAATGAAGTTAATTATTTTCTCCTGTCACGAATTACTGAGCATTAATCACGAAACCTCACATTGAATCTTTTGTGTGTGACAAACGAAGCATATTTCGAAAGTGTGCAATTCAGGCCCCGTCCACACGTATCCGCAATTTTTTTTACGGATACAGGTTGCGTCCACACGTGTCCGCAAATTTTTGTGTCCGTATCCGCAAATTTTACGAAAACGGATACGTGTGGACGGTGAAAACGATTCGAATACGCTGCGTGTGGACGCAAACATTTTGGTATCCGCAAAAAATAATTYGCGGATACAAAAATTTCCGGATACGTGTGGACGGGGCCTCGAGCTCTTTAGCTTTCTTTTCGCTCCTACTTTTCAAAGAGAATAGTATTTTCTTTTTGTTATTGCAGATGGTGAAGCTGTGTTGGTCCCATTGTTTGTATGATGCTATTTTGTATGTTTATAATCGTGGAATGAGAGATTATACCACTCCACTCGAGGTCAGGCAATGTTGCATTCATTTATCGTAATACTTGTACAAAATGTATATGTCGCATATTCTTTGCTCTATCATGGAATTTGTATTCTTTTTAATAATTTTTTCCT